TATTGCATGTTTAATTGTATTTTTTAAAATTAAATTTAGTTGTTAAAGTAACTTAAATTAGTCCTGAGATAGTAAAAAAATAGTACTGAAAGGACTAAATGAACAAAATAGAAATAATTTGGGGGCAACATTGAATTATAAGAAGTAAAAGGAGATTAAACTGAATAAATGTAAAATATGAAAGGACTAATTCCTTTCTCAAAATGTTGGCCGAAACCGCTTGTATTTATTTTAGTAATAGTCACTTATTTTATTAAATAATGAGAAAATATCTTTAAAATACATAAGAGTTTATAAAAAATAATAATAGACTTATTATATAGTCACACATATCTCTAAAATTTATGAAAGTGCACAAATTATCCATTTAAAAATAAAATATGATCATATAAAATATACTTAAAATACAATCAAATAATTTGAACAAATGATAGATACAAATAAATATCATTAAAGGTGATGAAGGACAAACATGAACATAAAAGGAAAAAAGGGTAACTTTTGTCCCAGTAGTAGACTCCGTTTTTCATTTTCACACCTATCGTATTTTCGCATCAATTTAACGTCGAATTTACTCTATTGCATCATTTCCCTATACCTAATTTAAAACCCTAAACCCTAACCTTATTACATCTAGACTCTAAATCCTAAACATTAACTTAGGGTTTATAATTTAAGTGAAGCTATAGAATGATACAATTAAACAACTTAAGAGCTAAATTGATGCGAAAATATAATAGGGGCGAAAATATAAATTAGTTATACTTAGGGATGGGCATGGGTCGGGTCGGGTTTTTGGTCAACTCGACCCACCCGACCAGAACCCAACCCGACATATAACTTAGAAACCGACCCGACCCAAAATAATAATAAAAATATTATTTTTATTCAATTAAAAAAATGACTTAATTGAAAAAATATATATAGAGAGGGGTATTATTGTAATTATTCCTAAACATATAAGATAAAATTATATATTTTTTCTGGTCAAGTCAGGTATTTTTTACCCTAAACCTAAACCTGAGCCCGACCCGACCCGAACATCACACTTAAAAAACCCGACCCAATCCAACCCGAACCCGAAATTTAAAAAAAAACTCGTCCCGATCGGATCAGATCAGAACCCATCGGGTTCGGGTCCAATACCCATCCCTAGTTATACTACAAGGAAAAAGATGAACCTTAATCCAACATAAAAATACTTAAATTCGTAATATTTTTTTCTAAGTTGAAAAATTAGTAAAGCTGATGAAAGAAAGAGATAAGTGGGGTAAGTATCTTGGATAATGGTGCAATTTATCAACTTGAAATGAAGAAAATTTGTCAAAATAATATGATTAACAATAGATTAGGGAAAAAGGACTTCCTTTTTTGGAAAAAAAAATAAACTTTAAATATAGATTTCATTTTTCAAACCATTTACTCCAAACAAAAGTAGAATCCACTTGTATGTCACTTGGACGAAGTTTATAGAATATCATTGGATAGGATAAATTACAAATTTCATCACTAAACTTTACCCTCTCCCATATTTGCTCATTGAAATTTAAAAGTTTTCAATTTTCTTACTAAACTTAATACATTAGATTTTTTGGTCACTCTGTCATTAAATAGTTAAATACGTTAAAATGACGCCGTTTAAAAAAATAAATTTTTACCAAAACGACATCGTTTTGCATCTATATAAAAGTTCATTTATAATGTCATTGGTGGGGAAACGACCGAGTGAGCAAAAAAACTCAATGTATTACATTCAGTGAGGAAATTAAAAAGATTTAAAGTATAGTGAGTCAAATAAGAGAGAAAATATACGGTTCAATTACCAAATTTGCAATTTTCCCAATTGGATATTTACTTTAAGTTGTTTGATAGGTTTGTGCCCAACTCTTAATTACAACCACTGCCACTATGAGTTGGTTAATATGTCTATGGGGTTGACTTTTATCACTATTAATTTGAAATTATTAGTTATAAAAGTTTAAATTGTTATTTGATATACTATCAAATATTATTCAGTCTATAAATATAATTGTTCAAACTTAAAACTTTTAAAAAAGAAAAATATTATCTTTTATCGTTGGAATCGTTTAATGAATTCTACAAATAATACTTAAATATAATTAAATGTATTTAGAATTCTAAAAATAAATAATAGAATATAGCATGTGATATTATTTGAACACTACTTATAAAATTAGTTTTTTTTCTCTTTAAAAATAGAGAAAGTCTCACGTGCAGCAGTCTAATATACGATTAAGGAAATACGTTATCGGAAATATTATTAATTTTTTTAATATTTCGGTAAAAAATTACCTAAAACATTATTATTTCTTCTGAAAATTTTATTATTGGGCGCTTTACCAGGTTTGTTAACATATCCGGTAAAATGCTACCTAAAATTATTTTTTTCTACCGAAAATGTTAATATTGGACACTTTACCAGAAATATTAAAAAATATTAATGTTTTGGGTAAAAAAATATGTTTGAGGTATTTTTTTGCCAAAAATATTTAAAAAAATAATAATATTTTCGGTAACATATTTCCTTAACCGTATATTAAAATTATCGTACGGTAGAACTTTCTAAAAAATAAGGTTGTGCAGATATTAACTTTATTTGTTCTATAAAAAACGAGGTCAGATCTTACGTTTTACGAAAAATGAATTTAATGTATTATTATCTCTTTATTTAAAAATAAATGAAGTTATTTGAAAAGTTGTCAACTCGCGTTCTATGTAAAAGAATATCGTTAAAACACGTTTTGTAAAATTCAAGATAGTCCTACGTGTATAATTTAAAAGGTATTTTTTTAATTAATACCGTTTTGGGATTGTTTTTTAATAAAATAATAAATGAAGGTTTTTTATTTAATAACGACAATAAATGAGACATGCTATGAAAAAAGCTATAGATAGGGATAGGCAAGGCTCTTGGCTCCATGATGATTAATTGGGATAACTGCCATTATTAATATCCTATCAAAAATAAATAATTTAATTTATTTTTTAGGTTGATTTGTGCCATTTTTTAACTATATATAACTTGTTGTTTTTAGAGTTTACGGGTTCGAGTACCAACAACTGTAGCAGGACGACTGAATATTAGTTGTCAAATAGTTGAAAGTATTTAGAATAGATATTACTTTACAATCATTTAGTTTAATAAAAAAATATCATAAATTCTTTTATATTTAAAAAATAATTTATAAACTAGGTATTTCATATATTTGAAAAGACTTTTTAAACAATATCAATTGCTTAAATTTTATATTTAAAATTGAGTAAATCAAAATATAAACGAATTATTAAATTAAAAGTTATATAATCAGATAAATTATTATATTTTACTTATTATGTAATTAAATAAATCATTAAAAATGTATGATAGAATTAAAAAATAATAATATTATTTAATTAATTAGGTAATCATTAAATGAATTATTAAATTTTACTTAGTGTACAATTTAAACTTTTAATTATATGAATGTACTAAATATATATAACACGAACTAAGTGATCTCAATAGTTAAGAGACTTGTTATTCTTCTTAAAGGTCACAAGTTCGAACACTAGGAGGAGTGTGAGCGTTCATTGTTAATGAAAATATATATATATATATTAGCTTATTGAATGAATTCAGTGATAAAAGAGATGTTCATCTTAGAGGTTTTGGATTCGAGCAACTGTGTTGTAAGGTATGTGTGTTCTTGTTAATGACTTGGTAATATTTAGAAACATATATTACCGTGTAATTACCATATACTATTTGAAAAGTTAACTGATAAAATGATTATTATTATTTCTAGAGGTCTTGTATTCGAGAAATGTTTAAATATTCATTGTCAAATTATTGAGAATCTTTCGAACAAGTACCATCTTGTGGTTATCGTATACTAATAAAAGAGGGTTTAAAAATATATTTTTAAAATTTATATATCTTATATTTTATAAAATTAAATATGTAACATATAATATTATAATATAACACATTAAAAAGAGAAGTTGAATTATTTGCGACTATTGAGAGGCTCGTCTCCAAGCTAGAATTACCAACCCACAAATGTGCCCTTTTTAAATCTCCATTTGATCTTTATGGTACAAGTCTCTGTCTCCATTTTCGTAGGACAGGGGCCTAATCTTGATTTTTTAGATGTGAATTTTCAGAAAAGTGACCCACTTGAGTATTAACTACAATGCCAAATCAATAACAAGTATTTTTCAAGGGATTTAGAAGGTAATTTTACCAGATTAATATCCATCTCTCGGACAGTCTCCCGATTAAGGGTCAGTTTAACATTGTTTATTTTTTTATTTAAAGTTTAAGTTTTTTTATTAAGTATTTTTTAAAGTAAGAAATGTATGTTTTAAATATTATATTATAAAATTTAAATTATATTTAAATGTGCTAATATTTTATATATTAAAATAAAAATATTTAAACTTTTTTATTAACATGATATAAAGGGTTTAAATATATAAGTGTTTGCTTTTTTATTTGAATTTTGAAATAGTATAGTTACCTTTATTGGTAAAGATATATTTAATTTTAGAATGTAAATAGAGCAATTTTAAATTTATGAATAAAATAAATTGAGTTAGAAAAATTATTTTTATAATAGATATTTATAATATTTAATTTGAATTAGTCAATTAATATATTTAATACAAATTAAAAATAACATCAACAATCAATTGATTTAGTGAGATGAGACATTAGGTCCCTTAATCAAGATAGGGGTTCAAACCCTGATATCTGTGAATGGAGCAAATTATGTTGCGAGGATCGTCTTCTTGCCTTTGTAGTACTTGATCTGAATTGATTAATAGATCAGATATCAGTGATTAATTCAAAAATAATAATAATAACATCCCCTACATTCATTTGAAGAGTACGTGGCTTCTGTTTTTTTTCCTATATAAACCTAAAGCTCCCCATCCATCCTCACAAAAGTTCGTTAACGTTCTCTCTGGTTTTGCTTCATTGCTCAGAACTGGCTAACATGCAGGAAAAGGTTGTGGTTCTTGCCCTCTATGAGGCCTTGAACGCTCGAGACGTCGACACCGTTCACAAAATCCTTGCCGGCGACCTCGAATGGTGGTTCCACGGTCCCCCGACTCACCAGTTTTTGATGAGTCTTCTCACCGGAGCTTCCTCCGACGATTATTTCCGTTTTGAATTTGACCCCCTCTCGGTTACCACCTTCGGATCCATCGTCATCGTCGAAGGTTGCGATAACAGCCGTTCAACCTCCTGGGTTCACGCTTGGACCGTGGTGGATGGGATAATCACCCAAGTGAGGGAGTACTTGAACACTTCTCTTACCGTTGCCCGACTCGGAAACTCAACCCCGTCTACACCGTCTGACTACAATCCGTCGCCATCGTCATCGGCGGCTGAGGTTACCACGCTGCATTGCCCTTCTGTATGGGAGAGCAGCTCTTCCAACAGGGTTGGAAAGTCTGTTCCGGGTATTGTCCTGGCAATTTAATCTCCGCCGGACAAAAAAAATTATTTATCATTTAAACACCTAAAATCGACTAATTTCTGATTTGACATTAGTTTCTGTCACATAAGTAAAGATTCGTTTTTGTAGGAAGCGTCTTATATTATTACGACAGAAGATGCATTCTTGAGGAAATATGATGTGGCAGAAGGAAGTTGGATTGGACCGAAATGAAAGAATAATAAAAGTAAGGGCTAAAAATGAAAAAAGAAAATGAAAACTTTGTCCAAAAAAGAATAAAACACGCATGATGCGTGTGATCACCATTTTTGGATTCGGATATATACTTATTATATATATTATATTTATTATATTATATTATTATTATTAAATCAAATGCATCCAAAAAAATATTAATTACAAGGTCCAAAAATCGGCCCAAAACTTGGAACAAGGCTTGTATGATTCAGCTCATACGGAATATTCTTGCTAGAGAAGGTTCTCTCTGGGTTGTGTGGATAAAATCATTATGTAATCAAGAACAAAGATTTTAATGATTTGAGTGAAAGACCCACCGACAGCTGGGGTATAAACAAACTGTTAAAGCTGAGAACAGAAGCCCGTCCCATTCTCGATGCAGGTGTTTCGAAGACTAAGAAAATATGGGAAGAAATTAGAGAAAAACATAACAAGGTTCTATGGCACAAAGTGGTTTGGTTTCCCCTCCATATTCCTAAAGCAAGTGTGATTACTTGGATGGCCATTCTTGATAGGCTTCCAACACGAGCTAAACTCTCTCAGATGGGAATTCCAACTGATGGACTATGTATTTTCTGCAATGAGGAAATAGAAACTAGAGATCACTTGTTTGCAGACTGCAATTTTGCTAAAACTCTGTGGAAATCAATATTGCAGCTCACTCAATTACAAATGTCTTGGGAAGTAAGGCTGGACTGGCCTTGTAGAGAATGGAAAGCTAAATCACTCATCTCCACTGTGATGAAGCCTGCATGGAATACTTATATCTACTTGATTTGGAAAGAAAGAAATAGAAGAATATTCCAAAATCGAACTAGAGATGTGGATCAACTTTTGAAAAACATCAAGAAATTTGTCCGAATTCAGCTAATTGGTAGAAATATTAATAGACTTGATGATGTTAATGCTTCTCTCTGTAACTATTGGGGTATAGACTAATTTTTGGTTGTACACAACTGTTACTCCCTTATTGGGATGTTTTTGTAGCATGTATTGCTTCTTTGGATAATAAAATTCAATTTATCCAAAAAAAATTGGCCCAAACAAAAATCTAGGGTTTTACCCTAATCATCTTCCAAGCCATCAGCCGCCAAGCCATAACCGTTGGATCTGGAGGGATCAACGACCAAGATTGCTCCAAGCTAGGGTTTTCCCTAAACTTTAGCTACTCTCGCCGCCCCCACGTGCCACGCACGCGACTGTTTAATTGCCACGTCCTACTCCACGCGTCATGCGCCCGAGACCTCTCATGTTCCCGAGGTCTACCATCGCCGCCTCAAGTTGCGCCGGTCACCAGAAGCTATCAAACATGCCTCAGGGTAAAACATTTTTACCCCTCTGCCATCAAGCACAAAAAAAGCAAACAAGGACAAAGCAAAGATCAAAAAACAATCTTACCATTTATAACAAGGAAAGGTTCTATAAAATCCCCTCCCAAAGATATAATCTTGGAAAATTCGAAATCAATACAAAAAAAAGTTCAAGGTAGCTTTTTTTCCCTTCTAGTTTTTTATTTCGAATGCATGTAAAAAAGAAAAAAAATGGTTTGTTTTCTCTCTTACCTAAGATGCTTGGGTTGTCTCCGAACACTCACGTCGTTCGGGGAAGGTTGTCTTCGCTGATGATCGACAAAAAAGAGTGACTTTTAGGCTTATTTTGCTTCGAAATGAGTTTTGTTTTTTTTTTTTTTAAATAACTTTTTAGGTTATTTTTGGCTAAAGTAGTCTTTAGTTTAGGATAAACAGAGGAAATAAGAGAGCATAGTTGATTTGGGTCATCTTTTGGTCTACTCGGCCACCGTCGAGGAAGTGTGTTTTCCAATGTATTTGGAAGTGTGTTTGGTGATTTGTTGGTATTTCTATGATGTATTGTCGCTATATTGTCCAATAAAACTATGCTTTTTATCCATCTTTTACCTTAATTAATTAGTCTAAACTTGATTAATATTGTTATTCTATTCTATTTTTTTTAAACTATGCTTTGATCTATTTTAGTACTTAAACTTTTAATTTTTCAAAACCATACCAAAAGTTTAGTTTTGTTTCATTTCATTATCTCACCTGTAAAAAATTGTAGATTTTGTTTTATTTTATTACCCTGTTCAAAATCTAGCGTTAAGTTTTGAAAAAATTAAAAGTTTAGGTACTAAAACGGACCAAAACTGATAGTTAGGTACTAAACACGTTAAGCTTTTAACGGTGAGTACGGAAATGAAATGAAAACTTGACGTTAGGTATGGTTTTGAAAAGAATTAAAGTTTAGGTATTAAAACGGATAAAAACTAATAATTTAGGTGGTAAATATGTAGTTTACCCTTTTCAAAAGTTTTTTCTTTTAATGTTTTTCATCTTGCACGCACTAGTTCTTGCATGAACGAAGATGGAATTCAGGGGTTCAACCAGATTATTTTTTAAAAAAAATTTGAATAAAATTCAAATTTAGATTCCTATTTTACAGAATATATATGTTAAGTGAAGTCAGATCAAACAAAAAATTTATTCAAATTAATCATCGACATGATCCATATTCATCTTTAGAGTTACTTCAGAGGATTATTAGTATGATAGGCAATGAATCAGATCAGATAAGATTAATGATGGGCAAAGGTTGTCGCAATTGGTCTCTTCCACGAGTTGCTGTTGTCGGCTTTCGTAATGTTAAGCGGTGGTCTCCTTACTCTACAGATTCAGCCGCTAACGAAGAAGAAGAAGGTGATGAACAAAGCCAAAAACCGGATTATGGGATTCAGGCGATTTTTCAAACCTGTTCTGCGGTTCACTTAGGTTTGTCAAAAAAAGATGGCAAAAGACTTGGAAAATCTTGCACCATGTCCAAGGGCATTCGGAGAAGGCCTTGGGGCAAATTTGGTGCAGAAATTAGAGATTCTTTCACCAAGAAACGCATATGGCTTGGTACTTTCGACATTGATGAGAAAGCTGCTGCTGCTGCTGCTGTTCGAGCCAATGGAACTACCAACGAGTTCCTATTATCCGTGGCCACCTTCATCGTCTCGAACTCGCATTTCTTGCCCTCAACAGCAGCAGTAGCTTCCTCATAGGTGCCGGAAGCACCAAGCCATATACGTTTCTTGATGAAAGAGTCCCTAATTTTCGCAGCAAATTGGCCCCCTAAGGCCTTCATCGAACACCCTTCGCCATGTTGTATGATTTTCCAAGCCCTTTGCCACGAAGGAAGGGAACCGCATAACAAGCGATCACCGACAACCTTGATCATCTCATGTTTACTTGCCATTTTCCTGAAGCTGTTTACAAATTATTTGCTGAACTGAAAACTAAAATCAGACCCGACACCATTTTATTTTCCTGGTAAATGAATCTCTTCGAATATGGGAAACTTGAAAAAGAAAATCAGATGTACGTGGCCAAATATATATATACATATATACAATTATTAAACAAGTTGAAGGTAAGAACTATGTAAGAAATAATTAAAAAATGAAGTTTAAAGTTCAATAAGAAGCTGTTATGTTTTTTTTTTCTCCTGAAAGATGTTAATTGAGTGTTTGAATGACTGAACCATGAAATATACTAACGTGTGGACTGGTTTTGAAAGTTTTTATTTTCAAGTTACACAAATCAATTTATATTTAAGTGGTTAAAGGAATCATTGTTGTTCCTAAAAGTCACGGATTCAATCATCAACGGCTGCGACAAGATGATTAAGTAAGTCATTGTTAAATCGTTGAAAGTATGATTCATACTTAAAATGAATCCAAGTGAAATGACCAAAACTCGAAGCTAACGTAAATTGAAATGATCCAAAAAAGGAACTGGACACATCGTATTCAAATATCATAAACGTGATCACACAACAAAGATAAAGTTCATACAAACTATCTGATAAACTTCACAAAAAAGGCTTAATTATAAAATAAGTGTTCAAATTATACAGTTTTTCCTATATAGGTATCCAATTTTTTTTGAATCATCCAAGTGTCTAACGTTACAAACATTATCATTTTACGCGCACGGTCCGTAACTACCGTTAAATTATGTCTCTAAAGGACACATGTCACATTTTGGTCATTTTAAAAATTTTATTTAAAATTAAAAAATTAAACTTATATGTTTTTTAAATACTTGAGAAAAAATCCCAAAACTTTCATGCCGACAACAACCTTTTGTTGTCGACGAAGCTCCATCTGACCTCACATTCCCTCGACGGTCAATAATCCTACGAAATTGCAATCAATCGACGTTTGTACACCGCGAACCCTATGTTAAAAGTCACAACTCCACGCTATCCCGACAGTCAATCAACAACAACTATAAGACATATGATTAGGAAGATGGAAGGGACTACATCATCGGCGGTGGCGGTTGTCGATAGGTTATGGTTAGGGATTTAGGATTTTTAGGGATTTAGAGTTTTTTTTTTGTAATTGAATAGAAATTAGGTTTTTTTATAAATATAATAATATTATTAGTATTTTCAAAAAATCAAAATTACAAAAATGTGACACGTATCACTTAACGGCAGTTACGGTCCGAGCACCTAAAGTAGTTACGTTTGTAACGTTAGGCACCTATATGATTCAAAAAATGTTAGGGCACGTATTTGGAGAAAATTATATAATTTGGACACTTATTTTATAATTAATCCTAAAAAGAAAGAAAACTCTCCGAGTTGAAGATTATATGTTTTTGTTTCCCTGCATAATCACCACCACAGCTACAATGAAGGCATAGTCCACCTCTGCATTAACTTTTATTTTGAAACTCTCTCTGCCCATAAAGCTTTTCCATGTGCAACTGTGCTTAACCTGTGATTTTATTATTACCACAAGTAATACGGATTTAGACCATACCATCTTTAAATCCCATGTAAAAGCCAAATTTAATACCTCGGCAATGATCGAGTTCCCTCTCCGAACTTTGCACGAAAGAGAAGCAAATCCAATACCCCTTGTCACATGAAAATCGCCGGCACCCCGGTCGTCCCTGCTACCTAAGTAAACATCGAGGTCTCGGAAATGGGAACCACTCGATCGTTTTACGCGGAAGAGAAAGTGGTTCGAATCCGAGCTTTCGCCTTCGTGAATTCGCCATTCCTGTTTCCACGAAATTGGATTCTGCAATTTTCCGTTACCCTATAACGTCATTCTTCATTAACCAGACATGGATGCCGACTCAAAAGATATAAATTATAATTAACGATAGAGAATAAGAAATAAAATTAGGTGATCAAAATATAACTTCGTCCCGGCTCGTGTGATCGTGTCGTGTTTGGAATTTCCGGGCCTTGCTGACCTGCTCGCGTATAGTGATGACGGGGAAGCCGGCGGGATCCGACATAACCCTTCGCCGCTTTAAGTTCCTGGCACCGCCGTCGACTCGAAGCAGAGTGTTTCCGGTGCTGTCGAAAACATCATAGTGTGAACTGTAAGGCGATTGTATTTTCTCCTTCACGAAAAGCTCCGTCGTGTATGGGAGACAAAACCGGTCCCCGACAACCTTGATCATTACATCGTTACTCGCCATGTTCCTGAATCTGTTCACAAATTCTTTGCTAAACTGAAGACTGAAAGCAGACCGGACACCGGAGGCTGAAACCTTTATTTTATTTCCTGGAAAATGAATCTCTTTGAATATGGGAAACATAAATATATATATATATTAACATATACGTACGCAACTCTATATATATATATATATATATATATATATATATTTGCTTTCAGCTAACTCATTCCTTGAAGTTTAACAAAATTATCACATCAAACATACATATTACCTTTGACAATAGAAAAAAATAAAGAAATAAAATAATAAAATAAAATATAGATAATGTGTTATGGTGAATTACTCCTTTAGAATTGATTCTATCTTAATCATTAAAATTTGAAATGAACGACGACTTTAAAAATTAGGATAAATTATGTTTTTAGTATCTAAACTATTAGTTTTGGTCTGTTTTAGTACTTAAACTTTTAATTTTTTCAAAATCATACCTAACGTTTAGTTTTCATTTCATTTTAGAACCATGTTGATAAAAACTAAATTTTATTTTATTACCTAAACTATTAGTTTTGGTCTCTTTTTGTACTTAAACTTTCAATCTTTTCAAAACTTAACGTTAAATTTTGAACGGGTACTAAAATGAAACAAAAACGAAAGTTTTTTAACAGCATGCACTAAAATGAAACAAAAAATAAATTTTAGGTATGAATTTGAAAAAATGAAAGTTTAGATACTAAAAATGACTAAAACTGATAGTTTAGATACTAAAATCATAATTTACCTTTAGATTAATACAATGATTTTAAATTTATAAAGTTAAATAAGGGAGATGAAATTAAAAAAAAAACCTTTTCTTATTAAAAAATCGGTGAAAAAAATTGGACATAGTATGCAAATGGTCCTGACTATATAGGATGTTATTTTGTTGAGTTATTAAATTATTAAAAGTTATAAAATGGTCTCTTGAATATAAGGCGTTGCTTTGATGTTGTTGACCATCTTCGTCGTCCCCTTGACCAGCGTTGTTTGCTCTTGATCTCTGCGCTCTTGGTCGGTGTCGCCATTGTTTGTTTACACGGTGCTTTTAGGGTTCCAGAGGACTTGTTCTTGGACGAGCAGGAGCCTGCGAACTCGGGATTCCTCTCCTTCCCTGGCGGGGGCGCCTCCTCTGCTGCTGCTGCGGCTGCGGCAGGCCCTGCAGTTGCCTCACGCGTGTGAACAACAGGTCTTTCAAGCATGACATGCTTATGATTTTTTTTTTTACTTCAATCTCTTATGGAAAATCGAATAGGATTTACTTTAGAATATTCAATCGTTGCTCTATATGCATTGTTTTGAAAATCGGATCGGATCGGTCGGTTCAACCGGGAATCGTTGTCTAGTCCGGTTCAATTTACACCGGTTGAACTGTTATTAGTGAACCGGCCAGAATCGCTGAACCGTTCGAACCGGATCGGCTGAAAATCGAAAAAAACAGCCAATTTTGTTTTTTTTTTTTTTTTAAATTAAACCAAACGACGTCATTTGTTAAACGAGCTAAGTCGAACTCGAGTATTACTGAGCTCGACTCGAACTTGAAAACTTTAAAAGTAAGCTCAACTCAACTCAAACTCACGAGCTAAAAATTATCAAGTTCAACTCGAACTCGAAATATAATATTGAAACTTGAACTCGAAAAGTCTTGAACTAAAAAAAATTAGAAGCTCGATTGAAGCCTAAAATTCGAACTTGATTAAAGTGAAAAAATAGTTCAATCAATGCTCACCAAAAGACTCCATGATTTTGAATGTCAAAATACCTCTATTATTTATAGAAGTTAGTTGATATGATATTCTATGTTTCTTAGCCATGTGAGATTATTTTGTTCTCATATTTTTACTCTTTAGACTTTTGGGATGTTTTTCTATGTTTCTTAGCCATGTGAGATTGTTTTTTTAAAAAAATTAAATCATTTTGTTATGATTTTTTTAGCCCCAAATTTATTTTTTAATTATAATTATATAATTATATTTATTATTTAATATGTTTTACCTTAAATATTATGTTGTAGTTAATTTGAATCATTTTGTTTCACTTGATTTTATGGTTTTTAACTTATATATGTTATGATTTGATTTAAATATGATTTGTGATATAAAAAATTATTTTTTATTAAATATTTTTGATATTTTTATTTAATTTTTTAAACAATTATGATGTCGTCCGGTTCTTCCGACCGGTCGGACCAGTTCGACCGATTGAACTAGTGAACCGGTAATATGGCCGGTTCGCTAACCGGTCCGATTATGAAAACCATGTCTATATGTCCTTCTTATGTAGATTTGAATCTGAACTTGGATTAAGAGTTAGATCTTTTTGTTGTTTTGATTTGGATTCTGTAATAATTTCTTGGGAAATTTGATTTTGATGAGATTAGATATTGTTTTAAGTCTCTTACTACATATAATTGTATTTCTTCTCCTTTTCTATTTATTGTTGAGACTTTTTTAAAAGAAAATAATAAATTATATTCTTATAGCATCAATGATGACAATTTACTTAATACAATCAGGTTCATTCAAGAAAAATCAAATCGGATTGGAGTTCGATAAAGCCCATTGAGCCAGTGTGTGAGCTGCTCTATTTGCATCCCTGCAAACATAATGTACTTTGAAAGAAGAATTATCATCAAGGAGGGAGTGAGCCTCATTGAGCAACAATTCGATTGTAGACAAGTCTTAGGTCTTGTTCAACATTATTATTTAAATAATATGTAATTCTACACATTATAAACGTTATATATAATAACAAAATCGATAATACACTATTATTAAGGTTAAGTAGGAACGGAAATAACAAAATCGATAATACATTTTTTTATAAACGTTAAGTAGAATTATCGATAATAACAAAATCGATAATACATTTTTTGGTAAATTATTTGCACTAATCTAAAATATTATTTCATCCGGTTGAAATAATAATATTTCTGGTAAATTTTTATTGATTTTATTATTTAAATAATAACAAAATCGATAATACATTTTTTTAACTGTATATTAAGGTTGTCGCACGTAATCATTTCCCACCTTACCCTCGTATCAACCAAAAGCCACTTCCTCGAAATCCTCACCCACCATCAAAATTTGATTTTTTTTTCTATTCAAAACCCCAATATTTAAACATCTTTGTCCATTTACCTTTTGAAGCGAAAATTCGGGAGTTCTACTGTATATCAACTTAATATAATATTAAAGAAAGATTTGATCAAAATTATTATAAACAAACATAACATTTCAGGTTGCTGAGAATCTAAAATGTTATTTTTTTATATATATTTTTCGGGTGCAAACATTCTTCGTAACATTTTAGTTGCAACTGAAAGTCATCTTTTTCATAACATTTTCGGTTGAACAAAAAAATGTTAAAAAATTGACATTTTCAACCTAAAATGTTATGTTGTTTATAACATCTTCGGTCGTGTCTTTCCTTGATCTTATATTAAGCTACTGTAAAAAAATTCATTATTAAAGTTCGAATTCTGTTTTAATTATCATTGGCAGTGATTATTAATCTCTTATTAGAAGATATATGGTTAAGTAGAAATTTGAATATCTTTTTTTTTCATTTTAATGTGGAATTAATATAAGCAATTTAAGCTAAAATTGAAATGAAGTTATTGATAAGACTCAAACTTTGATTATTATTGATACAATCAGCTGAACTAACCACACGGACTAACCTTTGTCAATTGTAAACGCCATACCAACATTTGATTAGCAAGATAAATTTTAGGGTAAAGTACACAAATGGTTCCTTATTTGATACGTTGTTTTATTGAGTACTTCGACTATTACAAAATAATCTTTCAATTATAGTTATTGTTTTGTTTAGTCATTCGTTTATTAAAAGTTACTAAATGGTTATCCGATAACTCTTATGCTTCAAGTTTGTCTTTTTCTAACAAAAAAATCGATAATTTTTCAAGCTAGATGTTAATTTACTGATTGATATATAATAAAATCATATTTTAATGTTGTCTAGTGGCATCGTCATTGCTTTTAAGCACTGGCTCGACAACATAATGTAAATAAGTTAACTTCAAACTCAGATGGTTTCCATTTTATAAATAAAAAAGGACGAGTTTGGGACATCTGAATAGTTGAGTGATGTTTTTTAACTTTTAATAGTCGGAGGACTCAATAAAACAATATACTAAGTCAGAAGATCATTTTGTAACTTTTAATAGTCGAATACTCAATAAGGCAATGTCTTATGGTCGGAGATCATTTGCGTATTTTATCCTAAATTTTAATAGAAAAAAATACATAAATTCTCATAAAATTATTATAAAATATATTTTTAATATTAAAATTTTTAAAAGTTATAAAATGATAATTAAATTTATAAAATAATTATTATACATCAAATAATGATAAATCTTGATAAATTTATAAATTTTAATGATTATTTTATAATTTTTTTAATTTCAATAATTTTTTTGAATAAGTTAAGGTTATTAACAATGTAATATTTGTTTTAGATACCCTCAACATTAAATGTTCAATCACTCATGCTATAGTCGTTGGTGTTCGAACCCATAAGCTTTAGGAATAATAATAATTTATTTAATCACTGGAGTAATTTGGTTCGTGATTTTAATTTCAATAATTAAAATACCATTTTAGTTTAGTTTAAAAATATGATTCAAGAAATTATATTTAATACATGTTGAATCAGAGTACTATTATAATCCTCTGCAGGTATCTCTTCGGTAGGTCCCATTTCAAAAAAAGATAGCCGTTATAAGAGGAGCGCCAACAGCAATAAAAACACCCCATTGTTAGTACCCCCAAAAAAAAAACTAGCCGTTAGGCTAAGAGCCTCTGTTCCCTTATTGCATCTTCACCAGACATTTGTCTGCTGTTAAGGTTTTTTTTTGGTCCCAATACCAAAAGATTCTCTCTTACAGAGATCTTCACGTGGTGCTTCCCCAGTAAAACCCCACCTCATGTTAAAACTTCATTTGATGATTTCAAACTTCACTTAACCTCCCTTCTTCTTCTTTTTCTTCTGTTTTTGTTAAGCTCTTTGCCACTCATTTAATGGCAATACAGGAACAGAAGGACAAACCAAAGGGTATTTCTC